GGGACACCAAGAGGAAAAAAGACTGGGACACCGAACCGTACATCCTCCGAAAATGGACGCAAGCACGAACACGAACCGTGTAAGAAGTAGACCCCAAACATGGTGGCTATTGGGGAATTACCGCAATCCAAATATGTGGTTGCATGGCTGCGAGACACTCACACACACTGAAGCCGCCTTAACACCCCCCTAAACCCCTAACCCTAAATCCTAAACCTTAAGCCTAAACCTGAACCGCCCAGCTCCGAAAACAAGCTGAAACAACGCGAAGAACCTGACCATTGCTGAAGCAAACTACTAATTAAATCATTGAACAGATGCTCTCAGCTGCGAAGGTATCAGAATGAAAAACCCATGATGTTGCATGAGTTGTCACTACGTAGGACCTAAGGACTCTGGGGCAACCAGGGACAGCTTTCTGAGCATTAGGAATTTCTTGGACAGCTTTTCGCACACGAAAATTGTCTACACTTCGCAGCTCATTTCCTAGGTACGTCTAGACGACGTCTAAGCCCCAAGCTTCCAATGCCTGTGTTTGCTTTCAGTTGTTCATACGCCCGATGGCCTGCAGCGACGATGTCTGCCCAAGTAGGGTGGAAGCAATCCAAGTCCTTGCCAAGCTCAGCCACTGCATGCGTGGCAGCATACTATTTGCCAATCTCCTTCGCACTTGCTACAGCGCTGAAGGCATTGGCTGCATCCAACTTGCGAATGCTCTCTGCAACAGCCACCTTTGCCTGCACCGAGACCGGCAGAGCGATTTTGCTTTCATGCAGAGTCTGGAGGTAGCCAGTGTAGTCCGCAGGGTGCAACTCACTGAGCTTCCTTGTTGAAACCAACTTGCTCGCAACTTTAACTGGGTCCACTAGCTTGCCCAACTGAACGGTGGCCAGACCATGCCGCCGGATCCATGTTCTTCTTCACTTTCCGTGCCTAGGGGCTTCACGAGCAAGAAGAGCCCTGCCATCCCTAGCCGTAGCCGTAGCCGCCCTAGCTTTATCATCGCTTTACTTTACAGCACGCGTCTTAAGCTTTTACTCTCCTCCCTCTCCCGCCCTCTATCCGACTGGAACTTCGACGACGAGGCGCAGAATGCCAACAGTTACGATGACTAGCAGATCACCTACGGAAAATGAGGCGCCTGATCGACGACCTTGAGCAGGCCACCAGGAAGAGATGGGCGGCACCGACTTTGAATTATGTGGACAGCAGGCGAAAGATGAGGGAGGTCAGACGAAGGAGGCTTCCGCAAGTTTGCCTTTCAGTGACGGCCCACTTCGGGCATCCGGCGTGGCGCTCTGCTACGAAATGTGCACCGGCACGCTTTGCTGAGGCTCAGCGTAAGCGCTCTGCGTGGGTCGACTGCGGTTCATGGACCTTGCTTCAGGCGCTGCCGCTACAGGCTCGATGGAAGCAATGTGAAATGGTTGAGGAGGATGCTGCCATGGACAATGAGCAGGTTGATGCGGCGAATGAGGCGGTGTTCTTCATGAAGGTCGCTCCCGGCGACGCTTTCAGACCCGGCTGCCACCCGCAGCGCCATGAGAGAGGTCACTTGGCTGGCTGCGGTTGCAAAAGCTGGCCAATGTCCAGGTGAGCTTCCCAACCACCGTCGGGGGTGTGGAGGTTGATTCCCGGCCACACGCCTTTGCTGCTGGCGCGCCCCGTCGCAGAGGCATGGAAGGTGATCCAGGGAGGTGACGGACAGGCTAGGCCGAATGGAAACGGGCACTACCTCCCACGCTCCTCCGAGTGCGAGATACACCACGACGACATCCTCGAATGCAACGGCGAGGCCCGCATCATTCTAGAGGCTGGCGTGTACCTGGATGATGCGGTCAATGTTCTGAATGGAACCTAAGGTCATCTGCAAATTGTACACCGCCAGCCGCCAGCCACGAAGTTGCGCAGATGGTTCCGGGCGCTGAGGTCCCCACCTTTGGCAGGACTTGGACAAGCCCGCGTTTCAGAGAGTCTCAGCAAGGTCCTGTCGACCCGTTTACAAGGTGAAATCTCCGCGACGAGGTTCCCTTTGCCGCTTGGTTCATCGTCATCCCTGAAGGTGTTGGCTTGCGGCCTCCCTGGAGTCTCCCACGCAGAACATCAACCGAAGAACCCCCTAACAGGCTCAGGCACTTTTGCTTGCTCGGCAAAAAGTGGCCCAGATTCGAATCAGCTTTGTGAAGCATCACGGCATCTTTTTCCTGGCCAGTATTCTATTGGTGCTGCCGTGACCATTGAACACCCGCTCGGTTGCGCTACGCGGAAAACTTGTCCAACGTGGGCGCTCCGTTCATACCAGGATGTTGTAGTTGACCGTTGTTGGACAGGCTTGAGAGTAGCAAAGGAAGATGGTTGCGCGGCGTCCCTTCGCAAGCAGACGTGCCTTAGAGCAACTTCTCTGAGCGTAGCGGCTGCTATGGCCCTTCAGTCAGTGCATCTTTGACGTGCCCCATGTGCCTACGATTGGCAGGACTGCAGAGCTGACAGCCGTGCGCAAAACTAGGAGCCAAACTTCGTGCGTAGAGTTAATCAGGCTATACAGAAGGATCTCGAGGGGATCGGCAAAGCGACACGCCATGGCCATCTTCGCCATGGATGAGTTGGGCACCTCAATGCCAGATAGCCAGCAGTTCATGGAAGTCATCATGGACTTCATTCGCACGCTGGGTCTGACAGCTGAAAAACTTCATCAGCATTTGGACCATCCAGGTCGCGATCACTTGCAGCAGGCAGTCAAGGACAGCAACCTGGCCACAAATCCTCTCCAATCTGTTCGGGCATATCGATCCTGCGTCTGCAAGGCTCACGCTCCAACCTTGAGCACGAGGCCTTTGGCTTCAGTTACGCGCTTCTCCTCAGTGCGTTTGTGGTCATGTGGCATGACGTTAAGTTCTGTTGCTTTGAGGCCATCCTCGTCCTCACCCAGAAAGGCCCGGAGGCAGGGATCAGGCTTCTGGAGCATTGGCGGCGTCGTTGGGCTGGCCCTCCAAAGGGTCATCAATACGGATGCTTCGGGCTCGCACCTGTCCGAGAAGTTTCTTGTGGACTGATGGCAAGCGCGGCAAGGGCATATACATATCGTCATCACTCCCAAGGACACGGGCTAGCGACTTGGTGCGATGGAGCGTGCTCGGACACCATTCACATTCACATCGCTTCGGAGCAGCAAAATCGGCTGCAAAGACAGTGCATGGGTACCATGGCATGGTTCAATCGCACCCCGCAAGAACCGTTTTTTGGGTGCTCCCAATTCCCAAGCAAACATGCCTGGGCGACGCATCTCCCAGTTCTGACGCGGCTGATGCTGAGGGTCAAGCCGAGGTCCGTGGGCTCATGGCGCGGGCGGCCGGTCCAGGCATTAGCAGGTCGTGAGCATCTTCTACTTAGTTCAATCTGGGCGATGTTGCGGACGCGTTCCCGTTATGGTGCCGCGGAGGAACCAGCTGCTGCTGAACCTGGGTCTGTGACCACGTCCAGGAGGAGAGTACTGACGACCCATTGTTGGTGCCCCCCGCAGCGTGTGGACGATGAACCCGAACCATCCCCAACCCGATCTACACCAACCGCCGGAGCAACCATCAACCATCAACAGACACCCATCGCGTGCCAGCAACGGGCCCACCGCGCGAGGCAAAAGTACCAACCTGCACACAACACGCGCATCCGGATGAGGATCAAGGACAAGCGGACAAGCCATCAGCAATTGACGAGGCACAGCAACCATGCACCCGTGCCACCAGGTGAGTTTCAGGTGAGGATCGACGACAACCATCAGAAAGTTCCGCAGCGAAGCAACCAGAGGAGGATCAACGTCTACCAACATCCCAGGCATCGCACAGGACGCTCCATCCAGAAGTACGCTGAGGGTATCCGCGTCGGTTAAGGATGACAGCGCAGACCACCTCGAAGGGATAAACGCGTGCTCGGGCTGCGAGGGCTCTTGACGCGCTTCCTCCTTTGGCAAGCGCTGTGAACAGAAAACTATGTTTTCCAACAGTCTTTTGAGCCTGCAAATGTAGCACATCAAATCATGGTAAGACATGTCCAAAAGCTACTTGCTAGAGTACATGTTACAATACATCACATGTGGGTGACAAAGTTGAACACCCCGCCCAATTACCCCTGACAGCTGCAGGAGGTAATTGATTCAACAACAACAAGTAGCGGACTCTGTATCTACTTAAGCTACTGCTACGGCTCTGACTCTACGGACCTACCCCACTCGAATCGGAGGCACGGCTATGCCTAGGACTCGAGAGGGCTGAAAGCTAGGGCTTTTGGCAGCTCGCCTAGCACACAACTGCAGCGGGGCTATAAAAGCTCACCCGCACACACATATGCCATCACGGCATCAAGTGGACAAAACGTGGATCAAGGCCACTAGGGCACTCTTGATCTTCGTGGTGTTTCAAACTCATGTGAGGAGAACTGTTGGACATTGGAATCCACAAGATAACCTGAGCACTGCTGGAACAAGTACCAAGTGAACTTTAAACCGTCCCTGAAAATCCTATTGGGCTCATTCAACCGAAAACATTTCTGCAATGGTTGCACATTCTCAGCCTGCGCACGTTGCCTGTGGTTTGGTTGCGCAGCACATGACAACTTGGATGATGAAAGCATCTTCCAGTCGTGGTGACGGATACCTCATTTGGCACCTGAACCTGCCTGACAGCTTGCTGATTTCCCATCACGGGATCATGCACATTGGTATGCATAGTAGTGGCGCGGCTTGAAGTTTGGGCTGGTGCTCGCTCACCCTCAGACTCCTCCTCACTAGGCTCAGCATCTGGTTCAAATGCATTAAGACGATCGAGTGCATCTGCCAACTTGCGGCGAAACCTGTACACGGTAAGCTGTAGATATCCAAGATACATCATGAGCATAATGCACAAGTATTTCCACACATCATGAGCATCTGTCCAAGCACTTTGCATCTCACGCTCTGTGCTGATATTGCACACACTGGCATTGGGCTCCTCAGATGCATCACCTGTAACCTCAACCTGTGGCGTAGCGGGCTCAAGGCTCAAGTGCATCCACATTGTGGCAAGCAATGCGATGCACAACACAAAAGACGCGTACATCCACCCTGTGCTGGCTGCTGTCGCTTCTGTCTGAACACTGGACTCTGCAACACTCAAGTGTCCCTCGGCACCGGACATCAACATTGAAATGACTGCAACCCTCAAGAATGCTTGGCTGAAGGTGGATCGACGGTTGACCTGATTGGTGATGCGGCGAATTTGGCTTGTGACTGCTTGCTGTTCCAACAACTCATGCCACTCAGACTGTCCAACCAACTCCATGGAATTTTGCACATCGACAACATGCTGAGAACCAAGAAGTGCTTTAAGTCTGCGCTCAGTCAAGACTTTAGTTGCAATATCCGCGGGATTAAGCAACCCTGGAACTGATGCAAAGTTGATTTCTCCTGCCTTCACCTTTTCCTGCACCCAAAACAATCTTGCATCCACATGCCTTGTCTTGCCTGAAGGACCCTCACGACATGCTAGGGACTTGGCGGCGCTGTTGTCAAGTCTCACCTTCAAGGTGAGTGTTCCATCAAGAATAGTGTCAAGGCATTGTTTGAGATATAGCAAGTCACATGACGCGGACACAGCAGCGTGCCATTCACTTTCACAGCTGCTTAGGGACACACATTTCTGGCCGCGGCATGATGCAAACACTGCTGCTCCATCAAGATAAAATACAGCCCCAGACATTGACCTCCTATTCATCTGTGACCCTGACCAATCTGCATCACTAAAGACCTCTAGCAGATGGCCTCGGCTGGCGTTGGAATAGCCCTCTGGCTCCAAAATTGATGATCCAACATCGCTAGGCGCAATCAAAATGCCGTATCCCTCAGTGGCTCGCAAATATGCTCCAAGTTTCTGTGCTGCCTTCCAATCTGCCACACTTGGATTTGCAAGCCTCTGACTCAAGGATCTAATGGCAAATGAAGCGTCTGACCGATCTGCTGAAACGTACATGGCAATGCCTATGGCTGTTCTGAACTTGGATGTTTGATCCTCATCCAACGGCTTGGCATCTGTGGGCTTGATAATCTCTTTGCTGCATGGGGTTCTTGAACTCTTTTGAGGGGCAACACCCAAAACCTCACACATTTTTTGATACAGCTCAGGCTGGCTGCGAATGACAACTCCAGAAGGAGTCACCATATGCTCACGTTGGAGAAAATGCACGCTGTCTCCATCATGTTCTGCAATAGACCATGTACATTCGAACTCAGCTTCCACAGTTGGAATGAAGTGTTCGAGCACCCAGGATTTAGGAGCTGATAAAATAAGGTCGTCAACATGGGTCAACATTTTACCAGGTCCAATTGCAATGAGAGTCGGACAAGCTTTGCAAATCTCAACATCCATATGGCGCTTCAAGAATGCAATGAAATGCTCACGCCATTTTCCTGCACCTGATCTTTGTCCTGGAATGCAACGCTCAAACTCGTGTTGGCAGGCTGCAGCATACCCCTTGGGCATGGTGGCAATCACGCGCTCACCCTGGGATACACTTAGGTACGCATCTTTTATATCCATCCCCAGAAGGACTTGAGGATCATCAAGATTGTCGCTTACCTTTCTCTTGCTTGCAAAATGCCATGGCACAAGTCTTGTCACTGCCGCATTGGTCGCTGTGAAGACATCTGTTCTATCTTGATCAAGCCACTTAAACTCTCTGGCACATAGCCTGGAGCGGCGAAGGAACATTTGCTTGCCATCTTTGGTTTTGGATCTCCACGTGCGCACAAACGTTGTGGAAAGGCGCTTAGGCTGGGATGACTCATCAGCCTGGGTACTGCCGTTGCTGGCCACAAGAACCTTCTTCCTCAGC